TTTTTATTTATACTTGAGCTGATTGAACTTTCTGTGTATTGTCATCATTTTCATCACTGATTTTTTGTTTCTTTATCATTTCTATTAGCTCTTCTGTTGCTGATTTTTCTTCCCATACAGGCTTAGATAAAATCTCAGATGGAAACTGTGTAATGTTTAATRCAGGATCTTTGTTTGTAAAAGGACTCCAGACTCCTTGAATAGAAGGGCATTCTGTATGCCACATTTTTACATACCTCATAAGTGGTATACCAGATCGGGTGGTGTATAAATTTAACCACTTGATCGTTTGTTGTGCAGTGAAATTGTGACAAGAGATTACTTCGCGTTCACCATTCAAATATTCAGCAACAAATGAAGGTGACTTATGACGGCGAGGTTTCAAGTATAAAGCTGTGCCTGGGTGATCTTGTGCAAAACTTATTAGATCTGTTTCGATGAAATCACGGACTCCACGACTAGATCCACTGCTCTTACAAAATCTTAATGTGATTCTTTTCAATTGACAAATATAACGCCCAATGCCATTCTGAAGCGGAACTCTGGGAAAACCTCTTGGCGTAAAACGACTGCTCGACATTAGAGATGTGTCGTACGCGAACGAACGGATCAAAAATCAAAATGAACGGCTCAAAGCTGTGAACGAACAATCCGGATYGTGAAATAATAAAAAGTCGTTCATTCGTTCAATTTCGTTCTCGTTCGGATTGCATTGCTATCAACCACGGATATAGATACTATCTATATCCGTGCTATCAACTCAAAATTCTTAATAATGACTGTATTACATGTTCAACAATATTTCGTTCCAATAGACATTTGTTCCAAAAACTTTTGTCCCAAAAACTTATTGGAACAAATTTAATTTGATAAAGAGAATATTGGAACAAATGATTTTGTAGCATATGGAACAAATAGCATTGGAATAATTGGTTATAGGATTAATTCAACTAAATATATAAGAACAGCGCAGCTGCGCTCCTCGGCAGTCGGCACCATCGCTACACTCCGCAAATAGAAAATATCCCTCGACTTGCTGTAGGTAATATAATATATATAATATATATAATATATATTATAATATATTATATTATATTAATTATATTATATTATATTATATTATATATTATATTATAATACCTATAATATATAGGTAACCATCGTACCCATAGATATATACAACAACTTACTAGATAGCCGTCTTTGTACTACAGTAAGTTAGTAGTGGCCGATATTGAAGTGGAGAT